CAGAACATTATCTGCAGCTAGGTACTAAAGAGAAAGGATCAGCTTTTAGTGTCACTTGAACTTTCTCAGGAGTCCTCATGCTAATAAATGTTTCATGAAGCTTTCTGAATACATCAGCACGTGCAGTTGTAGTATCAACTACACATAGTTGTAGTATGTAGAGCACTTTACTAACAGCCAATAATATACATATACATATAACATAACTGCACTGAATATATTACAAATTTACATCTGTGAGAAACTAATGAAGAATGCAGCTTCAAAGATTTTGCCAAAGTCACCCAGAGGAAGAATGAAAATTCCTATGGTTGCAGAAAATCTCATGCATATTGCCAAGAACCTAAGAATTATACCTTCGCTCATTTTTTTTGTTAAATATCACAAATGAGCTTATAAGAACATAGCACCTTAAAAAGTTAATTTAATAGACCTTCCTCTACTGCTAACAGAAAATGCAGCTAAAGTTACAAGTACTTAAAGAATAACTACAGGATGCTAGAAAATACTTCACAACCTTCTAAAACAGCCCACCTTAAACATTTCAAGTAGTGTTTCCTTCTTGACTTCCAGTCTTTCAAAGGCTTGTTTTTCCTTCATTATCTTTTTGCACAGCGTTTCCAAAGCCGAGAAGTCATTACTTGATACACCTCTAAAATAAACACAAAAATAATAGTGAATCATTCGTGCTTTCACTTGCAATTTCTGATCCGGTTGCAATGCACTAGCTTATGGATGGGACACACTGCAAAGAACAAAGCCATCTGCAGTACTGCAGGTGACTTTGTTCCGGGAGCAAGCAGGTAAAAGAAATTTTGCTGTGACTGCCACCCGCCTGCTCCTAAAAAGCAAAATACAAAACCTACCCTTCCTCAAGGAACATGTCATAATAAAATCCATTTTCTATTGGTGGTCCATAGCACAAACAGCCACCATAGATTCGCTCCATAGCTTCACCCATTATGTGAGCACTTGAGTGCCAGTACACCTAATGGAAGTAAAAAAAGGCAGGATCAGTCTGAATATGCACAATGCATTTCTGAGTATTTTATTTAAAACCTTTTCTGAAATGCTTGAAGATACTTGATGCAGGTCCCACATTAGAACAGTCTGTAGAACAGAAGTGACCTGCCTGGCAACACTCACATCGTAAGCACCAATATTTTTAAAAGGTAACACTGGAAAACTGTTTACAGCCTGGTAGCAAGTAATTATTATTTTCAACTATTATTAAAATGATTCATTTACTGTCAAGAAGTCAGGAAACTAATCCAGAAACTTTTTTTCCTATGAACTTCAATCAATCATCTCTGCATAAAAAACAAAAGGTGCATTTTCAACATAAAGTTGTGGTCCTAATCAGAAGATTTCAGGCATGGGAAATCCTGCACTGAAGGAGAATAGTCCATAAAGTTAAAAATGACACTCTCATCCTGTAGTACACCTGAAGTTTTGAGAAATTAAAACTAAACCTATAGGACTTCAGTCTGCTTTTATTTGCATGGACTAGAAAACCGAAATCTCACGGGAGCTATCATTAAGCCAATATGAAAACCCTAAACTTGAATGAAAGACCTCTGTGATGAATTTGACCGACAGCTTCTTGTACCAAATGATTTTCCTAAAGACAGTATTTACAAATTTACTGGGTATCCACATTTATCTGAATGAGTAGTCAAAATAAAGTACATATTTTTGTATGCACAAAGTAAAAGCGTAGCCAAGTCAGTACTTTTATGATGGTACATAGACAGTACTTTTGTACTCAGCATTGCTTTCAGAGTCAGTTCAAAAGACCTACTTTACATTAACATGAAGGTTGCAAATACAAAATTTTAATGAGAACAGACTTGACATAAACTAAAGCATCTGCTAGCAGACTTGGCTACAAATACACAGCAGAATGCATATTATCTGCAGCACCATAACTCCCTTGTAAGGAACTATTAGAAAATGCAGATGTACCTGCACAGCAAACCTGTTCCCGTCTCCTCATCTTTCGAGCACAGTAAAGATGCAAATAACTACCTGAGGCTGAGTTTAATGCAAATCTAAGGGCAAACAGATTTTGGTAGAAGATACTCACTGCTTGAGCCTCTTCATCTTCAAACTTAAGCAGCTCCAGGGTACAATCCTCCTCCAAAGGACGGTCTAGATCCCAAACCATCTTGTTCACTTTAGCAATGACAGTGTTGTCAGCTAAGCCCTGACTACAGAACAAATAGATGGTATGTGATCTTTTGAAATCAGCAAGTAGAAGTTTCCCAAATTTGCCTTCCAAGTTAAATGAGATTTTCAGGAGTGCTCAGAGTTGGTACAGTCTCATAAACAAATTCCAAATAAATAAGCCGTTTAGGCAGTCTTTAACATTTATGAAAATCCTACTCACATCTCTGAGACAAGTTAACAAAACTGTGCTGTATACTCGAGATTCACACATTCAATGACATATCTGGCTTCAAGGCAGCCACCTCAAAGTACTAATCTGACTTGAAAATCCTATTGCAATAAAACACAGAGGTTCTCTTTTAAAAATTATCAAATACCATTTCTGATGGAATAACTTTGTAGTTTTGTTTCCATTAGGCAAAACAACCCTTTCCTTTATCCCAAATCACAGAAACAAAGAAGGGTCCAATGACAAGGCACCTAAGCATTCCATTTTACCTCTAGGAATCACCCAGTGTTTGTAATTTTAACTATTACAGTGTCCAGTGTGCATTGTTCAAACCTACTCTATAGCAAGTCTGAGTAACACAGAGATGTGCAATGCTCTTTTTGATGGGTATCTCCCATGCAAATAAAAATGCAGTTAAGTGAAAAATACTCATTCTGTTAACTCTCTCTGAAATCAACTGAAACGTCACTCAGCAGCCATCTTCCCCAGGTCAATAAGAACTAGTTTGCATGTGCTAACATTCAATCTGATAGAGTAAATTTATTAGCAAATTAGTTCTTAACACAACAATACCTGCAGGGAAAAATATGCAAGTAATGTGTGTTTAAAAGATCTCAATTATAGTCTTATTTAATTTTTAAAACAGTATCTTCATAAGGCAAAAGAATTACACTCCAAAACTAAAACCCTGTTGGCTACCTCCAGTTTATTATATACAAGATGCCTTGAGAAGAATTTAAAGAAATGACTAAGAGAGGAATTACACATTACCCATACCCTCACAGCCACAACCTGCAGACACAGAGCTGTAGGAAAATAATTGAGTGCATCACAGAATAGAATCATACCTAATTCCACAAGCAATTTGATAAGGAGTAGTCTTCCAGGATTCAGCATCAACCTGCTTGCCATCAGGTAAAGTAACTTTAATGGGTTTACTGTCATTTGCAGCCCTTTCTGCAAGGAGTGCGTCATGTTCAGCTTTGAGTTTATTGTACATCTCTAAACGCTCATTGATAAACGCAGGCCAGGGATTCAACTATATAAAATGATTAAAGACAAAGAAAAATATCAATAGATTATTAGAGTAATCTAATATCACATTATGTCAAGAATGCAAATAGACTGGATATACTTTTCACAAGCAGCTAGGTGACCATACCTATCTATATGTGCTATATCTAACAAATAGTCATTATTACTGATTAATTATATAGTATTAATCATATAGTAAAGTTACACGACTTCAGCTTAATGAAAGTCATTACTTTGATATGTACCACTGTACACCTGTTTAATAAACTACACATATGCTAATAAACTACTACATAGTTTATTAAACACAAGACAAAAATAAATTTTAAAAGACTGTAGAAATTCAACATAAAAACAGATTTTCTTTACTAGGTCCAAAAACCGAGGGAACACCTCTACTCTGAGCCATCTGAACAGGAACTGACTCCAGTCTACACGTCATATAATGACATCGGGGCTATCAGCCTGGGCATAACCACGGTTATACAGCAGCTGGCTCAGGATTAGTGCTGGCTAGCAGAAGGCTCTCTCTGTGCATAGTCAGAAGGACTTGTATTTACCCACCATGAAGACAGAAAAAGCAGAGCACCTTAGGCAGGCTCTCCTCACCCCAGGAATTTTCTTCACTGTGAGGGTGGTCAGACACTGGAACAGGTTGCCCAAGGAAGTTGTAGATGCCCCCTCCCTGGAAGTGTTCAAGGCCAGGCTGGATGAGGCTCTGAGCAACCTGGTCTAGTGGAAGGTGTCCCTGCTGATGGCAGGGGGGTTGGAACTGGATGATCTGTAAGGTCCCTTCCAACCCAAACCACTCTGTGATTCTATGATTTGCTACCAACCTCGTGGTGCAGAGGCACGGTGAGAAAAGCAACTCTGGAAACCAGAGCTGTTCTCCCATTGTGTCAATATAACTCCGTGTAAAAAGAAACAAAGTTATTTCATGGCAAACTTTAGTGAAGTTTAGTAAAGAAATAGTGGGAAAATGAGTAACTGTAACGCCAGAGAAAATCCTTCAGAGGGATGAACTGTAGCAATACACAAGAAAGCAACCAGGAGACCGCATCTTTCACCCGGCCGAGGCCCAAGGGCAGCTCACCTCCGTCCGCCCTCCATCGCCGGCCCCTTCCTTCATCTTCTTCTTTCCGCAGTCTACATTTTTCTCTTCCCCAGCATTTACCTGAGGAGGGCGAGCACCAGTTCCCCTTTCTCCAGCAGTCACTCGCTTTACGG